ATAAATAAGAACAAATAGATTTTAAGCCTTAAAAATAATACATATTGTAATGTATTATCAAGACTATCAATTTTCAAGATTTTTCAAAGTGTTCAAAGATATATATTAATTTATTATATTAAGACAACATATTTCAGCATTCTTTGAAGACGTGCCCTACTTTGATTGTTTAAGGCCTATATTAAAAATGCCCCAAGTCGTAGTTCGTGGTGGCATGTTCCTCTCCAAATTTAAATCGACAAATTGCTCATGATTTTGCCCTAGTGACATTTTAGAGCTATTTTTAGTTAGTGACATGTTCCTCTCCAAATTTAAATCGACAAATTCCTTTTTAGGCTCATATATGATATGGGAAAGTATATAATAAGACCATTTACCTTTTGAAGAAAGTGGTCACAATTTAGGTGGCTGCATTTATTCATTGACCAATCTCAAAGTTCAAATTTTTTGTATTTTGAATTTTGTAACATACCCAGGCTATCAAAATTCACATTGAAAGGTTGCAAGTAATTGTGACCTCTTTATACCAAAGGTAAATGGTTACACTGTATACAATCCCATATGATATTGTCGAGAAAGTCTTTTATCACGATAAAATATCATTTTTTAACCAAATGAGTTGGCTAGTAGACTTGAATTGTTGATGACGATTCACAGGAACCGATTTGTTCTTGATGATTCCTTATCCAAATTGGCCGGGTCTAATCCAAATCAACATTTTGTTAAACCTTGCCAAAAAAGCAATGGGTCTCAATGGTAGGGATGGCAACATGTTGGGTCAGGTCCAGGTCCAGGTCCAGCCAGTCTTGAAAAGGTATTATAGGACCTGGACCCAGACCTGAAAATATAGTGTGGAACCTAGACCCTAACACGGACCTGAAAATTTATTGGGGGAATGATTTCATACTACGGTTGTATAGTAGTATAATGCAACCATCTTCAAAACTATGTTAGAGACATTTATTTGACACAAATTTTTAAATGTACATTCTTTTAACTCTAAAGAACAATCACAAAAAAGAAAATTTTGAAAAAATGCTGTTGAAAGTGTTTTTCTAGCCCAATTAATATAAGTCGTCCATTTTAGTGCAATGGTTAGATATAAGCCTCAAAAGGATTTTTTTATTTTCAAAATTTTTCTATAGCGTTATCATCATTAGATTAACAATGCTAAAAAGAAAAAAGTGATATTGAATTTGTCAAGGCCTAGATCTTGAAATTTCCCAAACTGACAGTCAAGATTCATTGTTGGAAGGTACTAATTTTGACCATATTTAGAGTGCAAATTGAATATCTTTTTCCCTAAAATTTGATTATGAGGATGAAAGGAATGTGCGACCAAAATATGGGGTCATACAAATGTCAAAAACATGGTTTTCTAGATGTGTGGTTGCATCATACTATAATACAATTGTTGCATGAAATCATTCCCCAATATATTGCCAGACCAATACACAACCCAATCTGACCCAAAAACTATATATATATATATATATATGCATTTAATTATTTTTCATAAATTAGGACCTGAAAATATACGTGGGACCTGAACTCAGATCCAACTAGATCCAGGCTCAAATAGTATTCAGGTCCAAATTTTGGATTTGGACTCAACCCGCAGGGTTCATTTTTTGAAGCTATACCCGGACCTGGATCAGGTCTAACCAACCCCTCGGTCGAGTCCAGGTCCATTGCCACCCCTTACTTGGTGGTTGAAATTTATGAATCAGTCTCTTTCAGCCAAATGGCAGCGAAGTTGTCAAGAAGCTACACAACTTCACAATGAGGTATGGTCCGCAAAATATGGGGTGGATAAGGATTGTCTGCCCATTTGGAATGGGCTAAGAAAGGGAGGGCCACTTCATTTTTTTGGAAAGGTCTTTTGAACTCTTGGTGAGTGATAGGAGAAGGGGACAAAACTCTTGCATTCAAGGATGTTTATATCTCCACAGAGGTTGAGGATGAGATTATTTTGGAGTGTGAATTAGATGCTTTGTTTTCGTTTAAATCTTTTTATTTATTACTATTTAAAATATAAAATAAATGGTATGATAGCATAAGAGCGAAGGTGTGGAAATGGCCGATCTCTAACAATATTTGAGTTTTTTTTTAAAAACGTATTCAAAAGAGACCATTTACTTTTTGTACAAGGAGGTCACAATTACTATGTCCATCATATTTCAAATCAGATACTTGTAAGTATATTACTGGCTAGACTCAAAGTTCAAAAATAAAGTTTTTGAACTTAATGACATATTTCAAATTTGGCATCTAGTAGCTATGATTTGATTGTGCTTGCCTCGTACTAATGAAAAATGGTCTCATAATATATAATCTCCTTTTCTTTGGGTATGAAGTTTGGGAAAAGTGCTTTTAGTGGATCACTTAAGGAAAATATGGCATGTAATAGTCACTGTTAGAAAAAACCGAATGATCCAACCACTAACCGCCCTGTTAGATCGGAATCAACCACTAGCTAGTTCCGATTTTGGGCAGTTT